AAAAACACCCACACCCTCTCAAAAACACCCACACCCTCTCAAAAACACCCACACTCTCTCAAAAACACCAAAAGTCAATTGGATAAATGAAAACGTAGGACTGACAATAACACTGAGAGAATGAAACTTGAAATCTGTTTTTGACAAAGCATTGATTATGTCAAATTGTGCGAATCTGAATAATTTATATCACGTTAATAACATAACGAACTGTACTTTTGAAACTCTTGGTCTGTGTTTTACATCAAATTCTCACTATGATATATATAAAAACTATGATCCTATATTGTCTTGTGATAAGTACCATCCAGCTTTATCGTTAAAATTAAGCCTTAAATACAATCACAACAAAATTATATCTAATATCAATCCTATAATTGATTATTATAAAGCTGATATTCGATCAATCGAAAAAGACTTAAATGAAATCAATTGGTCACAAATAGATCCATTAACGATAGATGAAGCTTGCAAATTTTTTTACTCCCAAATTGATTTGATTTTTGATAAACATATACCCAAACGTATAATTTCTAATAATGAGAGTAAGAAAATGGTTAAACAAATAGTCTCAAATACCTATTAATTGATAAAAAGAAAGCTCATTTTATTTCTAAAAAGAACCCTAACTGACGATGTGAAAATCAAGTTTTCAAGATTTCATTTTGAGTCGTGTTACTCTAATAATCCAACGAACCCTTAATCTATTCAGTTTCCCGATAGAAATGGCATCATAAATATTACGCCAAATATAGTCCTTGAAAAACTGAATAACTTGAGAAATAAATTTAGCACCGGGCCAGATGAAATTCCAGAAATTATTTTGAAGAAATGTGCATCTTCATTTGCACTTCCTTTTAGCATGATTTATGATAAATCTATAAAATCTGGAATATTTCCTACGAGCTGGAAAATCAGTTACATAACACCAGTACATAAATCCAGAAGTAAAAATGAAGTAAAAAACTATAGACCTATCAGTATTTTATCTACAGTATCAAAAATCTTTGAAGAGATTGTTTTAGATTATTTAAAACCACAAATGGAAAACCACATAATTAATCAACAACATGGATTTATAACTGGTCGTTCAACAAATTTACTGATGTTTAGTCATGTTTTAATCAGTGCACTAGGTGAAGGTGCTCAAATTGATGTGATATATACAGACATCAGTAAAGCGTTTGACAAAGTAGATATCATAATTTTATTACAAAAAATTCATAAACTCAATCTGTGTCACATTCCTATGAACTGGTTCAAGACGTATCTTACTGGAAGATCCCAAATAGTTCGACACAAAGAATACAAATCCCGTAAAATTTTTTGTAATTC